TATTTTAGGTGACACGGCGCTGGTTGAGAACCTGGAGACCACGAAAAGCACGGCCTCGGAGATCGAGCAAAAGGTGGCCGAGGCGAAGATAACCTCCAAGGAGATCGACAAGGCCCGTGAATACTACAGACCAGCGGCGGCCAGAGCCAGCCTCCTTTACTTCATTCTCAACGAACTAAACACTATCAATCCGATCTATCAGTTTTCTCTGAAGGTGGGCAAATACATTGTTTTGAACAAGATCAGTGAATATTAATACTTTTGCTCACAGGCTTTTAGTGTAGTGTTCCAAAAGGCCATAGCCAAGGCTGAACCTGGCGAAACTTTGGATTTGCGAGTGTCCAATCTGATCGATTGTATTACGTATTCGGTGTTTCAGTATACTTCGCGTGGTCTTTTCGAATGCGACAAGCTGATCTTCGCCTCGCAAATGACATTTCAGGCAAGCCGATCCCCTTTGCCATTCTAGCTTTGTTTAACAAATTTTGTTTGATCCTCGGCAGATTCTACTCATGAACGAGGAGGTTACATCGGCGGAACTGGACTTCTTGCTCCGCTTCCCGATCAAGCCACATGTGACAAGTCCTGTGGACTTTCTGACCAATCAATCGTGGGGCGGAATATGCAGTCTAGCGTCCAAAGATGAATTCAGGAACTTGGACCGCGACATCGAGACCTCCTCGAAGCGCTGGAAGAAACTGGTCGAGTCGGAGCTGCCGGAGAAGGAGAAGTTCCCGCAGGAATGGAAGAACAAGACAGCTCTGCAAAGACTGTGCATGATCAGGGCCTTGAGACCGGATCGTATGACCTACGCTTTGGCGTGAGTAACTTCTCAGATTATATCTCATAAGTATATTTGTATAAGTAACTTTCAAACAGGGACTTCATTGAAGAGAAGCTTGGATCCAAATACGTGGAGAGTCGCGCCATGGAGTTCGCCAAGTCCTACGAGGAGGCCAGTCCCTCCACCCCAATATTCTTTATCCTCTCGCCAGGTGTAAATCCCCTCAAGGACGTGGAGGCGTTGGGCAAACAAATGGGCTTCAGCATGGATCTGGGTAATTTCCATAATGTGTCTTTGGGACAGGGCCAGGAAGCCATTGCAGAGGCCGCCATGGACACGGCGGCCAAGCATGGTCACTGGGTGGTGCTGCAGAACATCCATCTGGTGCGGAAGTGGCTGCCAGTGCTGGAGAAGAAGCTGGAGTACTACGCCGAGGACTCGCATCCGGACTACCGCATGTTCCTGAGTGCAGAGCCAGCCTCGACGCCCTCGGCTCACATAATACCACAGGTATAATAAACAATTCATTGTTTCAAAAATAAAGAATAAGGTCGTAATTATAAAAATACGTAATTTGGAATATGAGTCAAAATACTTTTTCCCTTCAAAAAGTTATTAAAATAATTATTCAAGATTACTTAAATATTTTTGTTATCTTTTTTGTTGCTTTAAGAGAAGTTGTTATTGTAGTTAAAACTCATTAATAATTTACAATCTATTTTAGGGCATCTTGGAGTCATCGATTAAGATCACCAACGAGCCTCCTACTGGAATGTTGGCCAATCTGCACAAGGCACTGGACAACTTCACCCAGGAAACGCTGGAAATGTCGGGCAAGGAGGCAGAGTTCAAGGCCATCCTATTCTCCCTCTGCTATTTCCATGCGGTGGTCGCGGAGCGGAGGAAGTTCGGTCCTCAGGGATGGAACAAGATCTATCCCTTCAATGTGGGCGATTTAAACATAAGTGTGTCGGTGCTGTACAATTATCTGGAGGCCAATGCCAAGGTCCCGTGGGAGGATCTGCGCTACCTTTTCGGCGAGATCATGTACGGTGGTCACATCACGGACGATTGGGATCGACGACTGTGCATCACCTACTTGGAGGTTGGTTTAACTTAAGTATAAGAAATAAGAAGCTTAAATAAGGGAATACCAATTTAATTTTGATTGTGGTATCAGGCAATTATTTCCTTAACAAATTCAAAATCATTTTAAAGTCAAAGCATTATATTTATTTTCACTGCTGCTTGTCAATGCTGAACTTAAACCATTTGTTTCTGCTCCCCCCATTTTAGGAGTACATGCAGCCTGATTTGGTGGACGGCGAGCTCTTTCTGGCGCCCTCATTTCCGGCACCGCCCAACACGGACTACCTGGGCTATCACACCTACGTGGACGAGATGATGCCGGCGGAGTCGCCCTATCTGTATGGGCTGCATCCCAACGCGGAGATTGGATTCCTCACCACCCGGGCGGAGAACATCTTCCGCACGGTGTTCGAGATGCAGCCGCGCGATGCCGGAGCGGGCGGAGGGGCGACGGTGACCCGCGAGGACAAGGTCAAACAGATCGTCGATGAGATCATCGAGAAGCTGCCCGAGGAGTTCAACATGGTCGAGATCATGAACAAGGTGGAGGAGCGCACGCCGTATGTGATAGTGGCCTTTCAGGAGTGCGAGCGCATGAACTTCCTCACCAGCGAGATGAAGCGCAGCCTGAAGGAGTTGGACTTGGGCTTAAAGGGTGAATTAACCATTACGTCGGACATGGAGGTGCTGGAAAATTCGCTGTTTTTGGATCAAGTGCCGCCCATTTGGACGCAGCGTGCGTATCCTTCGCTCTTGGGTCTCAACAATTGGTTCATCGATCTGTGCCTGCGCCTGCGCGAATTGGAGACCTGGTCCACCGATTTTGTGGTGAGTGTCTCGTAACGAATATCTTCTCAATAGGTAACCGAAAACCAACCCTGCATTTGCAGCTACCCTCTTGCGTCTGGTTGGCTGGGTTCTTCAACCCGCAATCTCTGCTCACGGCGATCATGCAGAGCACTGCCCGTAGAAATGATCTGCCGCTGGACAAGATGTGTCTCCAGTGTGACGTGACCAAGAAGCAGAAGGAGGAATTTACGTGAGTAGTGCTCGCAATGTTCAATTGACTTTTGATGTGACCCCTTCCCGGGAATGTTTACACTTCCATAAGCAAATGTTGTTTTGCATCGATCTCCGATTCGCGACTGTCACAGATTCCAAGAATAGGAAATTATTGTTTTTTTGTAACAAGCGTATGGTTAGTAAACAACTTAAGTCATTTATCTTGACTCGATAGCAATTCTTAATTCCGTAAGCAACAAACAGTCATTTTAAAGCTTATGAGAATGCAGTGACCATACTGATGGGTGGGAAAAGTATACCCAAATATTTCGAATTAACTTTCTAGCGCTTGTTTGGAAAGATAATCCCATGCTCCGCCTGGTCTTATCTGGCCTTAGCCCCCAGAACTCTTCCCTCCGTCGCATAATGTAATGTTGTGACATGTAATCAACGCTTCGTGCCAGCGACCGGCTTGTAGTCGGTCTATAAATAGCCACAATGCTATTTCATAAGAGCTAATTTTAAACCAGCACTGGAATATAAATATGTGGGACTGACTTATTAATAGCCGGCAATTTACAATTGTCTATTTACTGACGAGCCGATTGCTTATTAAGTGGCGCCCCGCCAGCCACGTTTCACATGGCGTCGCTACCGGGCAAACAATGGAGTAACGCGGCTCCGGCGCGTCGTCTCCCCGGCATTAATATGTACTTTTGCATGGCGATTAGTCCGCCCCTCTAATTGCATTGGGCCATAGCTATCCACGAGCGATTTCTAACCAGATCTCGTAATTACAGGACGGCACCGCGCGACGGCTGCTGCGTGCATGGGATCTTCATGGAGGGCGCCAGGTGGGACATCCAGCAGGGCATCATCATGGAGTCGCGCCTCAAAGAGCTCTACCCCTCGATGCCGGTGATCAATATTCGGGTGAGTTTGTAATGCAAATCGGGCAATGCTAAAATGCTAAAATCGGTGAATTGGCGAATCGGCAAATCGTCAAACCAAACCGAACCGAACCGACGAATCGAGAACGGATCTGTGGCGTCTCAGTGCTGGCGCATGTTGGCATAAATTCGAAAACTAGATTCCACTCTATTATTCCACTTAATGCGATTCCGATTTCATATAACCTCGTCTATGTACTGCAGGCAATCACCCAAGATAAGCAAGACCTGAGGAACATGTACGAGTGTCCGGTCTACAAGACCCGCACTCGAGGCCCCACCACCTATGTGTCCAACTTGAATCTGAAGACCAAAGACAAGCCGGGCAAATGGATTCTGGCGGGCGTAGCCCTCCTATTGCAGACCTAATTTAGTTGCCCAAACCTAGAATTATTCGAATTACCTAACCAAGTGCTAATTTCAGCTAATTTCGTAGAAGTTTTCTAGTCCGTAGCTCACCACCTAGAAAGACATCTCTTTAGAACAATAATAGATCTAAGCTAAACCAATGTAACAAGTTTTCTCGTAGTTTTCAAGTTTGACTTTAGATTTGTTCCTTATAAAGCACTTTATTTCGTAATAAAACACCTCCTAAGTAGACTTGCCTTAGGCGCACTAGCATAAAACCGAAAAGAGAAGCTGAATTTGTTTTGCCTGGTAAGGGAATTATCGGTGGTCAAATTGAGGTCTTCATTTATTAAGGTAAGAATGCTGTTTATCACTTTGATTGTGACTTATTTATTTTTTTACCAAGGAATTGTTTACATTTGGTAGGTAATACCCCATGGAAACCACCGTCATTTGGCCGGCAATTGATAATTATTGAGCTGTGAGATAATCGTCCGACGTCGCAGCCGATAAGTCAGAAAATCCCAAAAATCTTAATGAAAATTCTAAATCAAAAGCGTCGCGTATCCATAAATATGAAGCATACATATAATACATGGAGGGGGGCAAGCTTCAGCAAAGAAAATTCATAGACATTGCTGAGTGGAGTGAACTCGTGGCCGTCGCCAACCGAATCAATTTTCATACTTTTGCCTTGCTTTTTATTTTTTATTCTGTGTGCTCGACCTGACTCTCGCGCTCCCGGGCCCTGCGATAAGCGTGTGCCGATTCGGTTCGGTTATGCTGACGAAATTTTCAAAGATTTTCGAAGATGCCCCAGCATCCCGAGCATCTCAGTATTGAGCGGTACGTGAACCAATTGACAGCGATCGTCGAGGAGGAGACTTTTTAGTGGCTGCATAAATACATGAATAATTCAAACTCAAAAAACCCCAGCGGCAACAACAAGTTGGACGGCGACAACGTGACCTGCCTGTAGAGTTATCGATCAAACGACCGACCCGACCGATCCACCGATCTTCCGATCTGATCTACCCATTCGATTTTGGTGCCCTGCCCCGTTCATCTGGCGTATCTGACGTATTCCAGTCCAGCTAACAGCAGCAGAAGCAGCAGCCGCAGCCACAATACAAAGTTACCAATACCCAATACCCAGTACCCAGTACCCAATAACCAATACCCAAGAAAAAAAAACACACAATAAAACAATCAGAAATCAGAAACAACTACAGGCGAAATGTGCGGAGAAACAAAAAGAAAATTGAAGACGACGACACGAGCGTAAATCTTTTTAGCATGAAAAAATTCTATAAAACTAACAGGCACTGTGTGGTCGGACATCATTCGTGCGCTACGACGGCAGACGACAGCCGCAGATACAGATACGGATACAGATACAGATACCGATACTGAGATACAGATAGCCGGTCGGACGGACAGGCCCTGATTCTGATTGATTGATTGCCGGGCCCCAACTCCAACTCCTGCCCAAAACCAAAGCAAACCCCATAGCCAAACCCAAACTCGAAACTGAAATTGAAAATCAAAGTGCTGTGCAGCCCAGTATCTGCAACAGCAACAGCAACAGCATCGTCATCGTCATCGTCATTGTCTAACAGCGGTCAGCGGTCAGCTTCCCAGCGGACAACGTCCAGTCGCCAAGCCATCAATCAGTCACCGCGTCAGTTAGTCAGTTAGTCAATCGAATCGAAATCGGAATCGGAATCGCCCACCCGACTTCTACTTCTGGCTGGAGCTGGAACTGAAACTGGAGGATATCTTTGGTCGGCGCTTTAGTTTCAGTTCGCATTTGGACGCGTGCTGTGCGGCCTCGCCGATACAGAGAGTCGGATCGGAGAACGCAATTCTGAATTCAAAACTCTGAATCTGAATCTGAACCTGAAGCATAATCGAAGTCACTATCAGAATCGTGCGCGTATTAATCTATAAACGTATCAAGAACCAAAACACTGGAGCACACACGTGTCTGAAGTTCAGTGACAAGCCCCAAATCAAGCGTCTATTCTATATTCTATATTCGATTGAATATATATATGGTACAAACCGTGAAATCGTAAAACACTTTTAATCAACTCGAAACCAAGCGCTGGCACGGCATAATTAATTCGTCTGACCCGCAAAGTTCACGCCGAGCAAATACGGTTGTGCGAAGTGTGCTCGATAAAGTGCGAAATATCCCAGCCAATCGCAAATCTAAACTAACTAGTAACAACATGAAGCTGATTGCAGTATTGTTGGCAGGTACGTACAATATTTAAACAAAAATGACTGAATAAAAAAAAAAGAAAAGAAAATATTTTGGTATTCGGTGTATTTCAAACCATTAGAAATTATTACTTTTCGGGTGAATTTAGAAAAGTTTCAAATATGTTGAAAAAAAAAACTTTTAATAATTTCTATTTAGTTCAGATTTTTATTTTATAACGGAGGGGCTTTCCTTGAAATCATTTTAATCTCAATCTTTAATTTATTTGGAGTTTTCCCATAAACAATTATTTTAAGCAGTATAGATTTTTTAGCTGCTGTTTTGTTTAATGTCTCCATAGAAAAATAATCTAATTGAACTCACATATTGATGTATAAATATGGAACACATGCTGACTCATTCAGTTGTTATAAATATTCTAAATAAGAAATGTGAGATGATTAGATCCTCTGCGTCAGAGCAACAAGAACATGACCCACTAAAATACTGGCCCATAACTTAAGAAATAACTTTTATAAATGGCGAAAATTTCAAGGTAGCTTAAAGTAAAATAATTTTGGTAGATAATTACAAGTATTAATTACAATCAGAATTTATTCTTCACATTCATTCATATGCAATCGCAAAAGTTATGAATGGAAAATTTTATACTTGATTGAGTCACTAGATTAGACTCCGCAGCAAGGCAGTTTGGCGGGTTTGGTTTCATTGCGTGCCGACAAGGCTAATTAGGCATGCAGCGCTAGTTCCCGATTCCCAATGCTGGTTACTGCGAACGTCAATGGAACATCCACAGCCACAGCCACAACCACATCCACCATTCCCCCGTCCATTTGAATCTCGGAATCGTTTGCATTGCCAGACGCACTGGCGTCGCCGAGAATCGATGGGCGTAAGTTGCCGATGTGGTGGGGATGTGGATGTGGGTGATATCATGGGTGATGATGGGCTGATCAGGGCAGTTTGTATGCGGGCCTGGTTAACGGGCAGTGATTCTCTTCGCACGCCTCCTGCCTAACTAATTGGCTCTGATGCCTCCGTCTATTTATAGTGGCGCTGTTTGCCCTCTCGCTGGTCCAGTGCCTCAGCCTGCCCGATCCCAGCACCAAGTGCGGCATGGAGTGCGACACGCAGGAGTACGGAGCGATTTGTGCCGCGGACGACAAGGGCAGCACCAAGACCTATCGAAATCTATGCATTATGAAAACGGAGAATTGCCTGCAGAACGCAAGTGAGTGTAGAAAAAAGTTTGACTATCCTCATTAGTTTCAACATTTTTTAAACGGTATCTGCAAGTTATTAGAAACCCGTTAATAAACAAAATCTTTTCTCCCTCATTTCCTTAGACTTTCAAAAGATCAGCGAAAAGGAGTGTCCGTAGAGCTATGGATTCATCCCTCTGTAGTCCAGCAGAAAAAACTTAATCATGGAGGAGAACGAGTGTACGCGGTTTGGCCTGCTGGAGGGCTCTTCTTTCTCGCGTGGTATTTGTGTGTGATATTTTTAAGTTGTACTTCAGCGGAATACAGAACACGCCCCGAACGTAATGCATAACGATAATGTATTCTATAATTATTAATAATAAATATTAAATAAAGTAATCGTAACACGCAAACACAGGCTTAGTTCCTTGACCATCACAATGTTGATGATTCGTAATTAGCGATGATTTCATTTCCGCTTTACCCCAGCGAACAGCCAATCCGTAGTCAACAAACGACACCCTGATCTTCTAATCTGTGCCCTGTTTGAATTGAAATTAAGTCATCAGACCGATTTAGAAAATCGAATCTTGATAGTCAGACGAACACAAGCGATGTTGCATTATCCGATTTACAAAAAAAAAAATTTTACGGAGGGATTTGTAGATTTTGTACAGGGAAACAAATAGAAACAACATAGGCTTATTTTAATGCCCAAGGACAAAATATTAAGAGTAAAATAACAAGGTTTGCAGCTTTGAGTCATTTCAACAGTTTAACTTTAATTAAAACAAAGCATTTGATCGTATTTAGACAATGAGATTTAAAATTGGTTAACCTATGTACATACATATATTTTGCAGGGGGTTTTTAGGACAAACTCGCTCATTTTTAAACGAACAGCAGACTAGTAATTTAAACTTTTTGAATGGATGATACTAAACGAGTACCAAAATTATCTCTTGTTGTAGAAAATATCATTTTAGATAACTTTTTACTTTAAGGTATACTTTAATCCATCACTTAAAAGTGCGAAATATGAATTTTCAACGAGCTCTGTAAAGAGTAGTCGTGAGAATTCTTCGATAATAGTTGAAATTGAATAGAATGCAATTTAAAACCTTAACGAATGTCTGGTAAAGTCATTCGACTTTCGATAGAGGAGCTTTTAGTTTCTGGGATAGGAAATTGACCCATCCTAGTAATACATTAATCATATTAATACATTAAAACTGCTGCAGTCGCAGCTCCACTTGCAGGGCAATGCAGGCCCGCCGTTCCTCCTTGAGCTCCATGCCAAGCATGTTCTTCTTGTGCTCGAGAAGCGCGTTCTCGCGCGTGTAGTGCTCGATTATCCGCTCGTAGTCGCTCTCCGGAGGAGCCTGCGACTCCGTAGCCAACGCGGCCATTTGGCTGTTGATCGACTGCTTCTCGTACAGCTGCTTGAGCCTGTATACTTCGTTGCGCTCGGCCACGATGCGGCTCTTTAGTTCGTTCTGCCACTCCATCAGCTCGTCGTATTCGATTTGAAGTCGCAGCAAGTTCTCGCGGTGCGGATTAGACTTTGGGAGCAAAATGAAGCCAGTGGCGGGATCAATGGAGAATTCAATAGGGACCGGTTTGGGGGGTCCTGCCTCTGCCTTCGGCTCTTCGAGAGAAATACTGTTGCTAGTGGAAGCGACTGCGACGACTACTGGCTTCGAATCCGTGGTGTCCTCACTGACGACCGTGGGCGGGGCACTGCTGATGTTGTCCAATTCTTCGACGGACTTATCCGGTTTCTTTTCAAAAGTACGCAACTTGCGCTTGAGCTGCGTAATAATGCGTTGTACTTCCCAGAGTTGCTCCTCACGTTTCTTGGTAATAAAACCGGCATTCATCTCGCTGTGTATTTGGTTGAGCAGGCTGTCCTGCTTACGCAACTCCGTCTGGATGTCCTCCGGCGTATCCGGAAGATTTGGGCTTGCCGATGTGAGCGGGGGCACATACCTAAGAGATGACAAGTTAGTAATGCGATAACTGTGTTTAAGTATCTGCCTTTCTGCCTGATTAGGAAGCTGGCGATACGCGGAAAGCGCTTCTGTTTGCGGGTTACGGCAGTCATCCTCGGCAGCTAAATAAACGACTAAAAATTCCGCAACTCTTTAAGTCAGAATCTTATCTATAGCCTCAGTGATGGGAATTATCTGTATGGCTTTAGGTACTTCTTAATTATTGTGGTTTTTACTCATTTGGTTTGGATTGTAACCCTACAATACAATGTGACCACTAGTTAATAACTAAATTAATTGAAAACCGATTTCAATTTAACTAATTTAAAGGGTAACGTGGATTCAGAATAGAGGAAACGGATATAAATTAAGATAATTCTAAGGGCAAAATCTTTATACGGGAGAGGTGAACAGGCAAGATAAGAAGCACCACAAAATAAGTACCTATCCCTGCCCACTTGGATAACGCCCATCACTGACATCCGGCGAGCCGGTGTTTGCTCACTTTATCAGTTGGACGTCCGCGAACAAGGTGCTGCAGTGGCAGAGCAGGGCCACCATTAGGCGGTGGGACATCTGGAGCGTCGGACTGAGCAGCATGGCCAGCGACTGAGCGTTGAGCTTGTTGTGACGTTCCTGCTGGATCACCGCCTCGAAGTGCAGCAGCACCCACGCCAACACAGTGCGGTTGCACTTGGGCAATTGCTCGAGCAGCTGCTGCAGCTCTGCCTGCTGCGTAGTGGCCTTCTTATGGGAGGCGACCTCCTCGAAGCGGGCCACCAGATCGGTGGTCAGCAGCGGTTCCGGGAGCTCGCGCAGGAAGAGCTTCAGCAGACTGCAGGCGGTGGGCAGGTTGAGCTCATCGACGGCGGAGTCGTGCTCCCGGTTGTTGTACAGCCGCTTGAAGTGCATCAGACGCGTCTTGATGGGCTCAATCTTGTAGATCTGCTCGCATTTCAGGTGATCCTGCAGGAAGTCGATGCAGTCGCGCACCACCAGTGGTATGTCCACGCCGTCGTGGCAGCGGGATCGTTCGGTGGCCAAGCTGACGGATACACCGAACACGGGATATCCCAAAGCCAACACCTCCTCCGCGGCGGAAGCCTCGTCCTGCTGCTGCGACAGCTGCTTGCTCTTCTTGTCCTTTTTGTCCTTCTTGTCGGCCTTCTTGTCCTTGACCTTGGGAGCCGGTGGAGGGTGAGGCTCCTCCTCGGCGTGCTTGGCTTCCTTTTCGGCCTTGTCCCGAGACTTCTCCCGCTTCTCCTTGCTCTTGGAGCTGGTGAACTTGAAGGTCTTGGACTTTTTCGACTTGGAGGGGCTCCTGGGGGTACACATGAAAGGGATTTAAGGTATGTCTGAAACAGGGGAACGTGACCCACTTGGTTTCCAGCTCCTCCTCCGGCGAGCTCTCACCGCCCAGGGCGGCATATCCACGATCCTTGCCCTTATCCTTCTTATCCTTTCGACGGCCAATCAACAGGTCCTTCTTGCTGGGCTCGTGGTCCTCGCTGACTGCCAAAGGAAAATCCGCTCATTGATTTTTCACCATTGCCACGCCCACGCATTTCACGCCCTCGCATTTGGACTCCACTCACAGTCGCTCTCCTCCTTGCTCTTCTTCGACTTGGCATCTGCCGCCTCCGAGGCGTACAGCCCGGGAAACTCCTTCTCCTCTGGACTGTCGAAATCCATGACGAAAAAATCACTTCCCCAGCAGTAAATAAACGATTTCCGTAAACAATTTGGGTAAACAACAACAAGCGCAACAAATAAATCAATTAATCGAGTTATCGAAAATGCGGTCGGTTAACAACACTTTTCCGCGCGGCGCTGGCAGGTGGCGCCACTTTGCGATGTAGCAAACATGTAATAACGGCCATATCGCATTTTACATTTTTATTGTCAATTTTAAGATTTAAGTTTTTGGGCGGAAAATATTGTTATAAAAAGAGCCGCATTTTGCTTATAATATTTTAAGACAACGGATATTTTCTACAATAATTATAAACTGGCTTATATGACATTACAGTATAACAGTGTTAAAACAAAAATATTATTAAATAAAATATAATTATTTGAATTCGTTTAAAGTTGGCAATCGAATGGCATTCACAGCTAAAAATATTTAATTTTTTGAAATTTTGTAATAAAACACCCCCTTACAAAACTTATAGTTCAAAATCGACCGGGGATGGATTGAATAGATCGCAAGTTGCACGAAACTGCTGACGATAGGAATAAGTCCATAAAGCCCATTGTGCGCCTGGCTTGTTCAAAATAAAATGTTGTCATGAACTTAAATTATTCTAAGCTTTGTGGCTATGATTTTATTTTATTAAACGTTTCCTGAAATATGATATACAGTTTATTTTCGAAAATCAATTAGAGTAATCAGCTGGCAGGCAAACACAATTGCCCCACAATCAGTCGGTACCGCGGTGCATAGCTTATCGCACGGTTGGCAACTGGGGTAAAGGCGGGAAGGAAAGCCAAGCCAAACAAATGCGAATGTGCGTGCTTGATGCAGCTGATGCAATTCTGGCTGGCGGATTGCAGCATCTCCAAAATGTTCCAGAGATTACCCGACGGCAGCTACAAACTGGCCATCAGCAGCTGAGTGCCGTTGGAGAGCAAGGCCAATGGGGTGGCCAGCGTAGCCGTGGTCGAGTTGCCGCTAATTGCTCTATTTGCCTCACAGACTGACCGACTACCCGAATAGGCCAGCGACAGGGCGGCAATGAGGGTCAGCAGGAAGGCCAGTCCCAGGACCCCGCAGCTGAGGCGCCGCACATTCTGCCACCAGGGATCCAGCGCAAAGGGCAGCAACTCCTCCAGGGTCAGGCCGTAGGAATAACTGCAAAGGGAGCGGGGCGAAAATGAAAACACTGTGTAACGAAGTTATTTTTTAATGAAATGCGACTGAAAGCGTTTACTCAGCAGTTGTGAGAATGGGCTCCTTCCGCGTCACAGGCACGACAATGATGTGCTGCTGCTGATGTCCTTGTTGCGTTGCCAGCAGCGCTGTTTTCTCATTGCAGGACATATTTGCCTTGTGCTACCCGGTAGTTGTGCAAAACAAGGATGTACAGTTTCTGTGAAGAGGTAGGAGTCCGCTTATTTAATCTGTAACTCCTAAGTATTTTTCCGGCTTCTTTACTAGTAACAAAAAAAAATCCATTTTAAATAATCGTTTTTTTTTGGAAAACTTAATCGTGAAAATGTTTGTTTACACTTTAACTAATAAATTTGAATTTGGTATGCTGCACTTAAATCTCTTTGCTTTTAAAAAAAGTTCAATTTATTTTTTCATTTTTTTTTTAAGTATTTATAAAATTGTTTACCTTAATAACCAATTTAAGAACATTTAAATTATAAAACAAAGCCCAATGCTGTTAAACCCAAGCTACTGGTTTCATCGGGAGCCGGGTATCTAAGTTTCGGGATTCTTACTCAACTTTTCTTCCTCTCGGGACTTTCACGGGGATTACAAGCACTCCAAGTCGTGCAGCTAGTGCAATCGCTCCGTGGGGAACTGGCGGACAACTGGCGACTGGTTTTCGTTTTGTCGCAACTTTAATTAGCCTGCAGCTGGTTGTCTCATTGCTTTATTGCTGTTTGCCTTTGTGCTCGGATTCCTGTAAACAACTTTATCTCCGCGGCTCTAGTCGTTGTCTCTCCGCCGCTCATCTTCCGCAACCGGCGGCCTTATCTTGCGGCGTTTTTTGGGGCATTGCATAACTGCAGCCGAGCTGTCGCTTTGCCCAGTTTCCCATAGCGATAAGTCCCCGACTTCAGGGAAGTAAGACCAGAGTACAACAGTCGAGAAAAACGATGGGTCAATCAGTTAAATGTGTTATTTTATTGGGTTTCGTTTGGTAAACATGCACGGAATACATATACAGCACTGCTGAGAGATGCCAGTAACTCTAGGCCTAGGCTCTATTCGATTCGATTAGGTAGAACGTTAAGCTGTCGTGCATCTCTGCTCCTGGCTTACGATACGAGTACGAGTATTTTCTCTTAGTGAGTATATTCAAATGTGTAGCATTCGTCGGGTATTTTCTTTTAGCGTATTGAAGTTGAAGTGAGAAGAGATACGGATAGTGAGATCGATGGATCTTCACCCCAAGCATATGCTACGCAAACTACATATGTGGTAGTCGATCTATACGATTATTTGCATACTTTATCGGTTTAGTTCTTGAATACATTTAAATGGGTCTCTGGATGTTCGAGTATATGCTTGTAGTTTATTTGGTTTTTGGATAAAATCACATTCATAGGTATACATATACAAATGCAGGTATAATTTGAATTCGAAAAAACACGATAACAAACAGGCAATTATTAATATTGTACAATACACATACATATTAGTTGTTTGGTTTGCCCATCAAAACATATAGATTCGAATTCTATTAACTATCGTACATCTATAGAACTTAATTAATCGAAAATTATAGAAATCATAAGAGTGAAAGGGAACAAATAAGTTTCCAAAGTAATCTGCACACGCTTCTTGTCCCATTACGTTTTTTACTCCTAGTTCTTTAGAAGTACCTAAACCCTATGTCGGAAGCACTTTAATCGTTTTATTTGCCTTTGCCATTATAGATAATCGTCTATGGGTAATTGTTTGTATGTCTGGTTATCCTCTGTATCGTATTGTTACATGCACTGCTCCCCGGCACTTCTTCTTCGTTCACTACTCGATTTATTCCTACGCTTCTCGGTAATATATTGATTTCCTTGCCATGGATATAATAGTGTGGCTACATGCCTACCCTGACCCCTGATCGATTTCTTCGAATCGTCTGTTAACTGCATTCATTTTGCTTGCCTGCGCTTCTTGGATCTATTAAAAACCTAGGCGTACTATCATATCGTCTAAAAGACGATATTTGGCTCGAATAGGGAAATAAAAAGGCAATAATTGAAATAAATTTAAAAAGAAATTTAATGATAATATCTAGCGGTAAACATTGATAATATTTCATACATTATTTGTTCATATTTGTATATTTATTCAATTGTTTCATATGTCGTATATGTATGCGGTATTTAAATTTGGCGCAGTTTTCTCAACGATTTCCCCGTAAAGTTGTGTGACCCCAAATGTATAATACAAATTTATGCATGTGGCTATAAATATTGTTAGGCTTCCTCTTTGAATAATTTGCTAGAATTTTGCTATATGAAAAATAGTACAACATTATACAAAAAATATGTACTTGCGCGTAACTTTTGGATTACAATCAATTTTAGTTATTTTCGGTACTGCTTTGGTGTTTGCCTTAATATCCAGTTTTTCTGCTTCGATCACTGCCAGCGACGTAAGCGAATAGAAAGTCTTTTTTAGGTAAATCGATTAGTGCTCTCTTGAAGTTCTGTAGTGATGGTCTTTCTTGCTAATCACTAGTAAGTAGTACCGCCATTTGCTTTGGTCAGAGTTGATGAAAACGTGAAGTGACTAGAACTAGTTGTCTAGGAGGCTCCTATTCAGTAATAGTACCTAGTTGTAGTAGTATTTGTATTATATGGCTAAGAGGGATTGCGTTTCTTGTTGGCTAAAACCTTTGGATTTTTCCTAAAACTTACACATGTATTAAATTAACAATGGTATTCGGCAGATGGAGAGACAATATCGAATTCGGAGAGGGGAACCCGATTGAAACTCTAATTTGAGACCAATCCCGACATTCCGCCTTGGGTTTTTGGGGGTGGAGTAAGTACAGCTTTAACAAACAACAACAATAATGACTTAGGTTGTACACAGAATGATATAATAAATATAATGGTATTTTAGAAGGTAAATTAAGTATATATGGCATAACAATAAATGATCTTGTTACAGTTACAAGATTGCTGAGCCGTGGCAGCCTTTCTGTATTTACAATTTATATATGAATAGAGATAATAATCGTAAAAATGGTTTTTGTATATAAGCCTCACTTAAACCTAGTTAAACATTAAAATTTTACTTTTAGTATTAACATAAATTTTACACAAGAAATATTTATATATAGCGCCGAGCACATTTCATATATATAAATCAATTTCATAAGTTTACATATAAAAACTGCATCTACAGCATCATACGACAGCTTCTCAATATCGTTTAGCTCTACTGTCTTCTGTCTTCCGAATACTCGTCTAACTTTACGGATTCTGCCAAAAATCCAACGCCAATGCGAATAACAAAGCCAACGCCAACGCCAAAGTCAAATCAATGCAGTTGCCAGCTCTCTAGACTTCGATGACATCGTAGGCCTCCAGTATGCAGATGACCACGTAGAATACCCAGAGGAAAACCAGGATCGCGGCGCTAATGTATTTGGAGACCTTCGGGCCACCTAGTTCGGCGCCAATGCCCTTGTGCCAGCGCCGGAACATGATGAGGAAGATGGCAATCAGGGCCTCGCCGCAGAAGAGCGCCACGGCAAATCCAATCCTTAAACGGAACAGTTGTTAGTTCGGGTTATATATAAGGAAACGGCCAAAATAACATTTAATTTTCAAGATCGTTGCAAATATTGCTAATGCAAAAATGACAAATGAGTATTTTCTTATTTAACCGTTTCAAAAAGTATAAAAAGTAAATTATTAAACGATACAAATAAAATGAATAGTTGAAGCTAGATTAAAGATTAATGTAAATGTTTAACTTTTTAAATTATTAAATAATCGACACAAAATTAAAAAAAAAAATGTGTCAATTGTAAATTAAATTTAAAATACGTCTTTCAATGATAATTTTTTAAGTGTCAAAATCAAGATACAAAATATAAATGTATATTGATTTTGAGAACATTTTGGCTAGGGTTACTCACGTTCCCGGCTCCACGTTGAAGGTGGCTCCATGGGAGCTGTGGTATACGGCGGCGATGGTCCAGGCCAGGCCAATTCCCAGGAACACGTTGACCGCATTGCTGCCCGTGACATTGCCGATGCAATTATCGGCGCCCTCGTCGTGCTTGGCCGCTATCATGCTGGCGAAAGTATCTAAAGGGGCAGGAGGAAATACGGTGACAAAGATGCCAATTTTAGTTGGGGCTTCGGCTCACTCACCTGGTATGCTGGTGCCCAGGGCGACAAACAGGATGGCCGTTACCGAGTCCTTGATGTTAAGAACGCAGCCGAAATAGGAGGCGGCATCTCCGATGATGGCTGTGATGACGCCAATCACGAATATGGATACCACAAAGGTCACATAGCCGCCGCAAATGTCTGCGGGGGCGTGAGATTGGTTAGCTGTTGACCACTGAAGACGGACTGCGTAGGATGCTTACCAGTGGGCGGCACAAATGCAAAGAGAACCTTCCAGAAGAGGCAGATGAAGTGGCTGACATAGCTGAAGCAGCTGGGCACCTCCTCCTCCGCATCGTCGTCGTTATCGAACTCACTTTCATCGGCTGCAAGTGTTTGTTTTGCACTTAAAAAGGTTATCTTAAAATTGAAAAAAATAAGCTAGTCTACCTGGGATGACGGTGAGGGCATCCTTAAACTGTTCCTTCCAGGACGAAGTGCCAAGGACGGCAGAAACGTTCGCTTTGGCCACCAGCTTGTCGACTGTAGCCTAAAGGTTTTTGGAGAAATGCCAAATGATTATGATAAGAATTTAAGGTAGGCGATTATCAGCCAATTGAAAAAGTCTTATCTCCATTTCAAAACTGTCTGATAAACATAGACAAAAAACACCGGATTGATGACCAACTTTTTTTCTGCTCACATTACGTATACGCCACCGACAACAGACAATGAACAGACGGTCATAAAACCCACACAGACATAGCGTAAACAGAGCACTCAACGTGTCATTTTGAGATTTGCACACAATTAGGTGCTTATTTGCCGTGCACCTGAGCGGTTGACAGTAACTCGATCTGGCGCGAGGATAAGGATGGCTTTCCACCTGGGAATCATTAAGGGTGTGACTGCCTCGCCCACGCATTCACTTGGCTTGCAAATGCGTGTGTGTGCTGGGATTTGTGCTGAAACTTGTTGTTTTGCTCGTCATCGTCACTTGGACGTCAAGTGAATGGAATTGCTTTTCATTAGCATTGTGGAGCTATTTGGGTATGAATCCGGTGTTGGAGCATCCGATCAGTGGTATTGCTTACCTTGAATTCCTGGCTCTCTCGAATGCGCACGTATGCGGTGGTCAGTTCTCCGTTCCTTGGCTTACTCAGCAGCAGGATGCGATCCAGTTCGGTGAGATCCTGAACGGATTTCTTCTCGACCTCCATGATTTTGGCTGCCATTTCATCGTCTGATCGGGGAGTAAGCTCAGAATTAGTTATATGCATCGTTGGAGATTTTAATCACACCGTGTTGCATGCAGCCACACCCCCACAACAGAGTATCTTAGTATAACATGTTATTATAAAGTATAACTAGACAGACACATGGTGATACGAGATAGATAAAGAACAGAAATTAAAGCAGTGTCATACACTAAAATATAAAGTTGGACTGGAACAGAAACTAAAGCTCGCATACGCCCCCCATTAGTGGGACACTAATTAGAAGCATATGGTGGTAATGGGATGCGGGCTTCAAATTGAAAAGGGGAAGACAACCGAAGAGGGGGATAGCTAAATCAAATCGAAGCCCATTGAAATGTCAAGTCCTATTGGAGTTCATTTCATCTTTAAGCTTTTTTGGCTTGGGCCAGCGACTTCAATGAGCTTGCAAAATGTTTGTGGTAAAGTGCCATCAAAATGCAATTGAGCGGAAAATGGAAATTGATAAACTGCATATTAGGTAGACAGAAACAGAGGCAAGAACAGAGCACAGATTGACAGAACCAGGCATGCATAAGGTCACAGATTGACATTAGGTCCCCCGATATTGATGACTCACGAGTGGGATCTCCGGAGTGTTCGTGTTTTTCTATAGACATCGACAATCGACAATTGACAATTGACAATTGACAATCGACAACATGACAAGTACGTGGTGGATGGGGTGTTGGGGGTAGAGTTCAGAGAATCGTTGTTTAATGGTCGCAAACATGTTTGATATTGCTTCAACAATCACTTTCTAAATATTCAGTTAACGAATATGCGATGCTTACTTAATGACTGTGGTGATTTGTTTTTTAGCTTTGCTACATTTTTGATGTTCTTGAGTCGGGTTATTACATTTAGCCTTGGTTTTTGATTCTTTGTTTCTACAGATACTTGACAGCAGAACAACACATAACTGAATACATCGACATGGTCTTAAGTTTAATCAGAAGCCGTTCACGATAATATTAAATATTGCCTTAGGTCTAGAACACACATAGATAATACACGGTAAACGGAAAAAATAAGAAAACACAAATTACGGAAAACAAAAGCCAAATATCAGGTACTCATCAGCGTTTACGTGTATTACTTACAAATCGATTTGGCGATGCAGAGGCATGTTTGAGTAATACCGATGATATCGATATCGGAACGGTGCGAGATCGGGTGTTCGAATTCGAGCAGCAATTCAAGTCGGGGCACAGGCACACAACGAATGTGGGAGATGCGGGCACAAGCGCGTTTTACAAATGTCCGCCGAGCATAGAGATAACCAAATCATTACCAAAAACTGTGGCCCTGGTCTAACTTTATTTCAATTGAAGACGAAGCCCGATTCGCTTGCTTGCTTTGGGTTTTTATTGGTTTTATTACTTTACACGAAGCTTGAAGCTTGCATTTATCAAGTGCGTGGCTGCTGCGTCGAAAAAAGCGCAATTGTTTGGGATAAATGCAGATGCTGATGCAGATGCAGATGCAGATGCACACACACAGATACGCAACGCCTAAACATACAGATACAGATACGTATACGACACTAAAACGCACATATAGCTGAGATTATGTATACGACGTGTGGGTTAGGGGACAATTGAACGAACAAAACAATAAGACACATGAAACGATAATGCCGACCGGTTGCCTCCATCTTTCTCTATCGTTCTCACTTTGTGGCATATTCACAATTAACTGAACACTTGAAATGGTTGATCGATCGCGCAATATGCAAAGATATGAAGATATGGCAAAGAAAGACGTTTACATACCAAAAAATCGATTGAAAAATGATTCCTTATTAGTGTCATCTGCGTGGGGATTGAACGTGTGTCATTTGGCAAATACGGAGGCGAGTGGATCGTTTGGATTAGAGAGACAAGTATGGACAGTGGTAATGTTAAGTCTAGATTATGTTATGGTCACAAGCAAATGTCGATGGTTAGTACTTGGGTGGTGCTGGGGATCGTGGAGGGGGAGGACCTGATAGTTAATCGTTCTTGGTGGGCTAGGACTAGCATTCGACATGAAGCTACAGGGATGAGAGTGAGGTCGCCAAACGTTAACTTCCATAAAGTATCACATACAGAACAAAAAAGGGAATTATCCTGCTCATCACCGATAAATAAATACCCATAAGGTACGTACAGAAAGGAGGGGGAAATCAATATGTATATAACAAAAAACATTAACGGGAAGAGGTATCTTCTAAGATGAAAACATACACAACATCCAAGCGAAATACCCAATTTAATTATGTTTATTGCTTATTCTCGTGGAATGGCAGAATTGGGTTCAACCGAAAAGGAAAGAATAAAATGAATTTGCACTTTTTTGCCCGCAATTTCCGCACTCGGTGAGGGAAAGAAATGGAGTAGAAACTAAATGTTACTGTCACGGCAACGAAACCCGAAAGTGTTGGCCAATCGCAATTGGACTCTCACTTTTCCCATTTTCCGTTTCACGTTTCAGCGCTTGGCGCCTTCACGTTCTACGCTTTCGTGTTCAATTAAAATAAAATTAATTAATGCACAATTCAAGGCTTACGGTAGTGAGTGGAATCTAGAAGCATAAAGAACACAAATTAAAAGACCAAAAAGTATAAAAAGAACCCATGAGTCGATAGGATGCGCAGAAACAATTTCGTTCAATTCAAATTGGAATTTCCAATTTACAAAGTTTTCGTGTTATCGGTTTTTTTTTCGATTTTCGTTTTTTGTTTTTTCTTCAGCTGGGCTTTCCCACCTGTTTGTAATATTTTGGGTTCAAAGCGAAAGAGTCAAAAGGGATATAGGGGATCTTTTTAAGGGGTTTGGCGATGGGGGTCACAAAGTTGGAGTGCTGGTGTGTGGGTGTCCGGGTGTCGCAGGCCAAACTCCTGACCAGGACAGAGACAAGAGCAAGTGCCATCTTCGGTGCACTGCTAGCTGGGCTGCTTCACGTAATTTGGTTAGCATTTTCAGTGGTTTCGGGGTGGCTTCGGGTAGTTTTCGTTGTACTTTTGGATTTCGGGAGGTTGGGTTTCGGGTTTCGGGTTATGGTGCTGGTCAATGTGCCTCAGTGTGGCCAAAACTCACCTGGCGCCAATCGAGGTTCTCCGATGTGCACCTTGAAGCTGACGTCCTTCTCATAGCTGCTCTGCTCCAGGATGTACAGATCGATGAATTTCCTGCAAGGGATTAGGGCGCAGGGATTAGTGCTTATCCAGGATATCAAATGGGTGAGGTGTGAAGTGTGCAGTGTGTAAACGACTGCACATAAGCCAAGGGCTCACTGTCAGGTTTTGGCTAAATGGTCACAATCTTGACACTCGAAACAGAGCCCCGAATTTATTAGGCAGCATTAAGTGTGCAGCTTGCTGCTGCGGCATTGCCTACTTAATCTCAAAGCTTTTTTGGTGTGTTGTGTAAATAACAAATATTACGTATCCGCCTGGTGCGCCTGATGCGAACATAAATATTTGCATTATTCATGTGTGCTTGCATGTGACTCAACCTATAATAACTCCAAAGAACTTATGATTTTTTGCCATAGGTTCGGTATTTTGTATGCTTTCGATGCGAATGCCCAAACATTTATTGGCCCCAGCGATAGCGATAAGTTCAAATGGCCAAACACTATGGTAGACCTTAAGATTTGTGTATTCAACAGTTGCAGCTTTAGCTGCCCGCCACTCACTTTACTTTGGCTAATTTCCCCGCTGCCAAGTGCAAACCAAGGTCAGCACTCGCCCGCCCAGCTCAACTTTAACCTTTCCCGCGGATGGCAGCTGCCTTTCTTCCATTCCAATGCCTTTGCATTTCTCAGCTTGATATTAAAAAGAAAAACCACGGGGCGAAAACAGTCACCTGTTTATGACCCGGCTTTTATGGCAGCAAATAAATGTGAAATGGGAAATGTGAAATGTGAACTGATGCAAACCCACCCACTTCCTGCCTCAACTGGTTATACTGCCCATCAAGTCGTTCACGTGCCTCAGCCAGATTTTCTGTATTGATTACGTGTTGGCCATAGGCTTTCCCGGGCATTTCGCTGGAACTCGCTCCGCAACAAGTCCCACTACTCACGTGCCCTGCTATTATACGATTCGAACCCCCCGTTTTTCAATAAATCTATAAACTTTGTCGCTGGCCATCGTAAATAAAAGCACGCCTCGGACTAAGGGAATTAGGTGGCGCATTAGATTTGATGCGATTTGGCATTTATGGGAGCTACACGTCGTCCCCGCCTTATCGTATCTTATCGCAATCGATTCCAACCGAATCTCTCGATAGGCCAAAGTCGGAGTAGCCGCCAACCAGGGTCAGTCTAGAGCAAGATGTTCTGCAGGTTGAACGCACTTCTGATCCCCATCGCCATCGCCATCGTTCTGCTGGCCCACTCCAGTTGGTCGGCCCCGGAATGTGGCCGTAGTGCGGAGCAGTGCAAGGAGCACAGGATGCATCCGGATATGCCGGAGCCGGAGTTGAAAGGACGGGCATTTCGGGTCGTTGAGGGCGACGAGACCAACGCCTATTGGCGCCAACAGGGCGTCCAGTTTGTCCAGCAGAAGCTGGCCAGTGAGTTGAACAAGCGGCGGGCCAAGAACGTGATTCTCTTCCTGGGCGACGGCATGGGTGTGACCACCACTTCGGCCGCTCGCAATCTTCTGGGCGGCGAGGAGAAGTCGCTCTCCTTCGAGCAATTCCCCTACACGGGCCTCTCGAAGACCTACTCCGTGGACAAGATTGTGCCGGACTCGGCCTGCACGGCCACCGCCTACTTGTGTGGCGTGAAAGGTCAGGAGGGCACCATTGGCGTCAATGGGCAGGTGCCGCGCACCGACTGCAAGGTCATGCTGGACGAGAGCACCCACGTCGACTCCATTGCCAAGTGGGCCATGGAGGCGGGCAAGTGGGCGGGTCTGGTGACCACCACCCGCGTGACCCACGCCTCGCCTTCCGGCGTCTACGCCCACATTGCGGAGCGCGACTGGGAGAACGATGCGGAGGTGGCCAGCGACTGCGGAGTCAACTCCGGCATCCAGGATATTGCCTTCCAGCTGGCCCGCGGCGAGGTGGGCAGCAAACTGCGGGTGATTATGGGTGGCGGACGCAAGCATTTCGTGGACTCCAGCCTGGCATCGTGGGGCAAACGTAGCGACGGTCTCAACCTGCTCGACGAATTCAAGGCGGCCAGCGAGAGGAACGTCTATGTGACCACCGCCGAGGAACTGGCCGCCGTGGACGTGGCCAAGACCGACCGGCTGCTGGGCCTCTTTAACGACGATCATCTGCAGTACCTGATGGAGACCACGCCGGAGAGCAGCCAGCCCACGCTGGAGCAGATGACCCGCAAGGCCATCGAGTACATGAGCCAGAGCGAGCAGGGCTACTTCCTCTTCATCGAGGGCGGTCGCATCGACCAGGCCCACCACATCAACCAGGCGCGGATGGCCCTCAACGAGACGATTGAGTTCTCCAAGGCCATTGCCGCCGCCCAAGAGCTGACCAGCGAGGACGACACCCTGCTGGTGGTCACCGCTGACCACTCGCATGTGTTCACCTACGCAGGGTACTCGGTAAGTAGACTATGTTTGTAGTATCCAAGTAATACCATTAATTGTCTTGTTGTTTAGTACCGCGGCTCGGATATTTTTGGCAAGGCCCCTGTCAACGGACACGACGGTCTGCCCTACATGGTCCTGAGCTACGCCAATGGACCGAGCTACGAGAACTTCTACGACGAGCAGACCAAGGAGCGCAAAGATCCCACCACAGTGGTGACTGGTGCCCACGACGATGAGTTTCCCTCGGGAGTGCCGATCGACATGGACTCCCACGGCGGTGACGATGTGCCCGTCTATGCCCTGGGTCCCTGGGCGCACCTCTTCACTGGCGTCTACGAGCAGAGCACCATCCCCAGCCTGATGGCCTACGCATCCTGCTTGGGCCACGGCCAGACCATGTGCAAGTAGGATGAGGCAGACGCTGGCGAGGGGATGCCAAGCCGCCTGGCCATAACAATTAAGTTTGAAGCTCATTAAATCCAGCCAGCAAGCGGCATTTGCATTCGCCTGCACTCGACTTTATTATGCGAACGCAAAATGCAAATTGAATTAAAGCGAGTTTACAGGGAAATTCCTAACTGGGTTACTCTGCACCCTGACGCCCACTTTGCGCGCTCGTCAGCAGGGTGATGGGGCTTCCCATCATCACCCTCGTAATTCACAGTTTGAAACTCATCAGGGCTCTGATGTGGGAGCAGGTTGTGCTCCTTGCCCGACTTCTTGGCTCTCTGGGATTGCTGGGTTCCCTTGCGTGCGAACGCCAAAAGTTTGGAGCCCTTGGAAAAGTGCAAATGAGCACGTTCGTTTTGGCTCGTGCATTAGAGAGATTAGCGGGCAGAATCCGTGTAGTGCGAGTGCAAGTTGTAATTGCAACTTTGCAATCCCAATTTTCCATGCGCCATCAAAGGGTAATTAAAGCCATTAAACCCAGAGATGCGTCATCGCCGGGCTGACTAATTTGAAAAATTACACGCAAATTGCAAGCCAACAAGGATTCCAATAACATTCTACCCTTGTGCGAGAGCGTTTCCACCTCTATTTCCGATTCGATTGAACGCTAAATTATATCCGCCACCCACAAATGGAACAGTGTGTGTTGCGAAGACCTCATTTCCCCCATATGACAGCTATTAAACCAACAACGCCGAAGCGCCAACCTCAGAACTTAACCGCCCCACACCCACCAATCGGTTACCCTGGCATTCAATGCTAATGCTGTCGTATTGCCGATGCCTGAAGCACTTCCGCCGTGTGATTTCAATGGCAACGACCACGTCGTTGTCGCCCCCTGTTAACCATACCCATACCCACACCCATACCCCTACTCACACACCTAATCCACTCGAAGGGGTATGTAATGGGTCTATTGATTTTGCAAAACTAACAAGTGGGCTTCTGCCCAGAAGCAGACATGGTCAAAGACCAGGTATCGTGGGCTCAACCGGAAGGTCGGACTTGGCCTACCGTCGTGGTTGTTGGGGTCTGGTGCGGGTTGGTTAGCCAACAAGTGCGGTTCCAGGAGGTCATTACCAAGCAACGAAATGTTTTTAGTGCGCCACAGCTGCTTGGGACTTCAAACACCCTTTCAATTATAACATGGAATGGATATGGGAAATCAAGTCTTATTAGTCAAATCAAGTCTTATTAGACTTAATTATTTTTAAAGTTAATTTTTTTTGGGCAAAAGTAGTAAAACAAATATTGATATAACTCAGGATTGGTAATACTCACACAACAGTGTGATATTTTTGCGAACTCTGATCACAATATTCCCAAAATAAGAACTTAAGAAACCAAAAAGTTTGTTTTAATTTTTATGTCCTAAGCCATTACCCAAAAACTATCTTTAATCAGAATAAAAGCGATTAAAATACTGCGGAGAACAATGCAACGGCTACGAAGCCACAGAAAATGTTGGGAAAAGTTAAACAAAAGGGGAGCGATTCACATTCCCAAAGTCTGACAATTTGGTTGGATGAGCTTGTAAGCCGGCGATTACAGTCCGCACCTCCGCATTCCGGATGGCTTTCGGCATCCGGCAGCTGGCGCATTTCCCACAGACAACAAAGTCTCAACTGATTGATGCCACAGCTCAGGCTAATAATCCTGCTCCCTGGCTCCCGACACCCTGATTTCACGGCTCCTGCTAGGCGCCTCAATTACCTGACCGAGCTTGGCCACTGGCTCCCGTTCGGTATGGGCATGCAAACTCACTATACCCGTATGGTCAAGCACACATAATAGCATTACTTAGTCAACGCAAGGGCGAGGTCACCCCTTAGAAAACTGGGTCTGCCAATGGGAAATGGCGGTGGTGGAAGGTGGCAAAACTGGTGCTTGAAAATAAAATTAAAGAAAAATACAGCAATTTGCATAGCAATGAGCGGTGCACAAGTCCCAAGTTGGAGGGGCGGGAGGGTCTTCCTTGCGGGCGGGAACTAACCATTACAAACTTTTACCTTTGCTTGTCTGTGGGAGTATCCTATCTGCCCACTTGGCAATCCCAGCTGAGCTGGCACGACCCAAAAGAGCCATCCACCCTGCGGCGAAACGTCGCTTTTGGTTGGGAGTCTTACGAATGACGTTCTCGCTGCATATCATATTATTGGGGACGCAGTGTGGCATTTCAGGTTTTGAATTTTAAATTCCAATTCAAGGTAAAAATTCTAAGTCACACTGTGCGAAACTACAAATGTTTAAAGCAGTGAGTGAGTGTATGTGCAAAATCTAAACCTGCCGGTGGTGTTGATTGCAATATGCATCCATTAGATTGGCAGCCCCCGGCCAGTGGGTCAATTAATAATGCTCTCTCGATAATTATTAAAGTGTTTTTCGCCAGGCGTCGTTTTAATGGAATTCCCAGGAAAAATTGCAGGATGGGCGACCGGAAATTTGACAAGAAAAATCAGCGTCAGATTGATTGCCACTTCGGGGAATTCAATTACGTTGGCGTCCGCTCGAAATTAAAGGGGAGTTAAATGGCCATTAACTGTTCGGCACGTAGAAATTACCACGAATCTTTTTGAAATTCAATAAATGCGGTAACTTCCTCAACAGATTGATTCAGTGGTCAATTGTGGACCGCTCAATAAAAAAAGGTTTAGTCGGTATTGATATGCAATGAGTTTTTCAGAAATATCACGTTGTTCGAAACACCAAAAATTTGTACGGTGAAGTTCAATTGAATTAATTTAAAGAAGTATGTATGACCGAAATTATTTTTAAATAAATAAAATACTGTTATGTTTTTTTAGCTCAACCTTAGGCTTGAGTGAACTTTACAAACTGAAAAAAAGGGACCGAGCTAATTTTGTTAATGACAATTGCATTTTAACTTAAGTCCCTGGGTGATTAAGTCAATATTTCTGCATCTCGGACATGCATACTTAATGTCTAAAGTGGCTTGCCATTGCATGTGAGTTCTCAAGTGGAGCGAATTGGTGTGGGAGCAGCCACCGCTGGCTAAAGGCAAAGGTCAAGGGTACTATACCCTATAAATTTAATAAATTGAAAGCAAAAATGTGTTTGTTCTCCGAAAGACCATCATCGGTTCATAGTCGTTGCTATACCGTTCTAGCAGGCTGCCAATTATTGACGAAGTGAACGCGAGATTCATTTAAAATTCATCGAAAATATCTGAGTTGCTGTTCAGTGTTTTCAGTTCTGCCCGATTGCGAGGGTTCGTAATGACCTCTATGGACTTTAGACTGGCAGTAAAATTGAGCCCTAATTTGGCCAGTCTATCAAAACGTCAAGTTTGGCTGACTTGCGCAAACATTTCATTGAAGGGCAAGCAAAACTGGTAAGCCCCTAATAATTTAAGCTTAAACGGTTAATTAGTAGAGTTCTTTGCAGTGCTAAAAGTGGTGCAGAAGTTAACAAAGATTTATTAAGATTTATTATTAGTTCAAGCACACTATTAGTTTTTAAGGCATATTTGGAATAACAAATAACCTGTTTTAAAATTCTATATATTATTACAAAACTGTTTATTTTCGCCATTCTACAACGGGTAAGCATGGTCTTTAAAACTCTTAAAATCAAGTCTTATCTCTGGCTTGTCACATGAAATATAAAAGTGCGATCTGAGCGTTCTGATAGCGACAAATTGAATGCATGTTCGACAAATGACCGTGACCGGGGTGCAGAACAATGAGTTGCCTTTTCTTTTCAAATTACACTTGTTGAGGCGCGAAATTAACAACAACACTATCTCTCTGACCCCACAATAGGTTCGAATAAATAATAACCCACCAAATGCGGGCTATCCGAGCCATGTCGCATGCAGGTGGTGTAGGTGGTGCTGTGTATGGAAGGGTGGTGCTGGGTAGGGTGGTCCCCCAGGAGGGGGACGTATGTCCTGTCGTATTTCCTGGTTCCGTGTCATGTTGGATTAACCATTTCATTTTTCGCTTCTTTATTCTCAGCTTAAACTGAACCGTTTTTAGAAACACGCAGACAAAACGTATATTTTTGTCAAAATCTAAAGTAGCTACTTTTGTGTGCAACTTCCAATGTTAGTTGTTTTCAGTGAATCATGTGAAGCCTTTAAATCCCCGAACTGTTCACAAAGTGATTTGAAACGGAGAATGGACTTTTCAACTTTCTTGCAGTTAATCGAATCAATCTCGAAAATGGTCCCCAGTAAAATCACAAATTAATTCTGCGGGCGTTGTTTCCCATTTTTTGTTCTCTTTTTTAAGGATCTAAGGAAATACGGCTGGCCATGACAAAAGTTTCCACACAGTAAATAAACGTGAGATGTTTTTCTGGAATTTTAAAGTACCGTTTAATTGGCCACAGCCCCACAAGTTTTTCCCCCATTGTCGGCACGTGTGGTTGTGCCCAGATCTGGCTGTAAGGCCACAGAACAAACTCACATTTCGTATTTGTTTTTTTTTTTCATGTTTTTGTTTAGACAATTTCGTTTTTCTGTTGGTGCAGCCATGTCGTATGAGTAATAATTCATTCATTAAAAGGCCGTAAACACACTCTGCTTGGGGGAAAACATTCGGCGGAAATGTCGGAAAATAAAAGAGACCCAGACCCGCATCGCGTTGACCGTCGTAGATACCTACTTATTGAGTTGTAATTGCAGAAGTTGGAGTAATTGCTGAACAGAGCTGAGCATTTGCCAGCCAAAGTTCTCACTTCCCCCAAGTCCAAGGATCCGTATTCATTAACTTGCTGACTTTTTGAGCCACAGGGCGTTGAAAACTTCTTCCATTCGCCTGGCCGAACGCAAAACAAAGACGACCAGTCAAGGAGCAATTAATGAAAAAGAAGCTTCCAAGTTCCTGTTAACGAGGGGAGCCGTTTCTTTTGTCTGGCAAGTCTTCGGCATGAATGCAAATCGAGTGGAAACCAAGTCATTCTGCCGAGTCCATGAATAGCCAACAAATCCCTCAATCCTATTTGAAAAGCACGAAAGGATGTGCAGGCATTGGATTTAATGAAACGCACTTTCATTGAAAAAGAGTACCATATTTTCCGATTTTAACTACCTTACTAACTAACTAGCCTTACATTTGATGTTAC